AGAGAAATGATCATTACATCATCTTCAGCTTATCTAATGTATAGAGTGTGCTCATTTGGACTCCTTAGAAAGTCAAGACTGAGCAGGTGGTCATTAATCCTGCTATACCAGGCCATTGGTGCCTGTTTTAGGCCATATAAGGCCTTTTTCAGTAAATAGACCTTTCCCTCTTCTCCTTGAATCTGATACCTTTCAGGTTGTTCGATGTAAATTTTCTCATTCAATCAGTCATTCAAGAAGGCAAATTTTACATCTAATTGATGAACTTTCCAGGAAAATTGAGCCGCCACAGTAAGTAGTAGTCTAATGGTGTCATGCCGAGCAACTGGAGCAAATGTCTCCAGGAAATCCACTCCATATTGCTAAGTAAATCCTTTGACAACAAGCCTGACCTTATGCTTCAGAACTGATCCATTCAGATTTACCTTTTTTCTGAAAATCCATTTTACTTGGATCACCTTTCTATTTTCTGGTCTATCCACAAGCTTCCAGGTCTGATTTTTTTTCAATCATGGTTAGCTCCTCCTTCATGGAAATCCCCTAAGGTTCTGACTTTACTGCCTCTGAGTAGCTTGAAGGTTCCATTTGTGCCAAATTGCATCTATTATATACATCAGCCAAAGACCTTGTTCCTCTGATAGCAAACTCTTCATCTGATTCCTCTCCTGGATCTTCTTCAAACTGATCAGCTGAAACTTCACTCAATTGAGATTTTGTTTCTACATCAGCCGTGAATTTCTCCCAATTCTAGACTCCACTCTTATCAACTGTAACATCCCTGGACACAATTATTTTCTTTGAGTCAGGAATGTATATTCTATAGGCTTTAGATTGGCTGCTACAGCTAATAAAAATTCCTGTCAATGCCTTGTCCTCCAGCTTTGTTCTCTTTGCAGGTGGCACCAGAACATAACATATGCTTCCAAAAATTTTCAGATTATCCACTACTGGTTTGACTCCAGTCCAGGCTTCAAATGGTGTTTGACTGATCAATGCTCTAGTAGGAAGTCTGTTGAGCAAGTACACACCTGTATTTACAGCCTCTGCCTAGAAGAATTTTGGAAGTCTTTTCTCAGCCATCAGACATCTTGCCATCTCCATAACTGTCCCGTTTCTCCTCTCAAAAACTCCATTCTACTGTGGAGTATAAGGGCTACTGAATTGATGTCTGATTCTAGCCTCTTTGCATATCATTTCAAACTTTTGAGAAGTGTATTCAGTACCATTATCACTTTTTAAGATTTTGATGGTCTTTTCTATTTGGTTTTCCACCTGCTGTTTGAACCTCTTGAATACACCAGCCACCTCATTTTTCTACATTAGAAAGTAAACCCAGCCCATCCTAGACCAATCATCTATGAACAATACAAAGTATCTACTTCCATTTAAGGATAATGTTTGCATGGGACCACACACATCCGAGTGAACAAGTTGAAGTTTTTCGGAGGCTCTCGATGCTTGACTCACTGGAAAAGGTTTTCTACTCATCTTGCCTAATTGACATAGTTGGCAGACTCCTCTCGGTTGTTCAACAATGGGCAGATTCTGGACTAAGTGTTTTGACTAAATCTCCCTTACATTTCTATAATGTACATGGCCTAATCTCTTATGCCATATCTCAGTTTCATCTTCTCTAGAATTGCATGCTTTGTGTGGAGTAATTCTCCACATGATTGGAAAACTTTTCCCTACCATTCTTACTCTCATAATCTCACTTCCCTCATTGTCCAAGATTATGCAAGATTAGTTTTGAAAATGCAATGCATAATCCTTTTCCAGCATTTGTCCCACACTAAGGAGACTTTCACTTATATCAGGTGCATAAAGTACATTTGAGATTAGTTTTGTACCTTTTGGTGTCTAGATTGCAACATCTCCTTTCCCTTTTGCTTCCACAAATTCTCCATTTCCCACTTTGATCCTTGACCAATGTGAGTGATCCAGGTTCACAAAACTTTGCAAATCTGGTGTCATGTGATGTGTACATCCACTGTCAATCAATCATGTATCATCACTTGCTTGGATCAAACTGGATGAGGCCACAAACAACTGTTCTGTTTCTTGCTCCGTTAGCTGTTCATCAACTGTCTGAGCTTGCTGTTGGAGCTACTCTCCCTTGCTTTTGCAGACTCTTTCGATGTGGCCAAATTGTTTGCAGGCCCTACAATGTATTCCAGGTCTGAACCAGCATCTATGCTCTGCATGTCCCTTCCTTTTACAGTGAGAACAAGCTAGAAAATTCTTCATTCCACCAGCTTTGTTCCATTGACTATTGGACCTTTCTTTCCCTCTCTTTTCTCCAGCATACCTTCTACTATTTCCTTGCGTAGACTTGCCCTTGTGAGCTGCTAACATTGCCCCTTCATTTGCATCCTCTAACCTTAGGAGCCTTCTTTGCTCTTGTGCCTGCAGAGCATGGACCAGCTCAGTCAATGTGATCTGAGTTAGATCTTTTGAGTCGTCCAAGGATGAGATCTTTGCTTCAAACCTTTCCGGCAAGCTTATTATCACCTTCTCCACTACTCTGCTATCTGACATCTCCACTCCAAGCAACCTGATTTTGTTGACTATATTCATCAACCTATCAACATATTCCTTCACTTTCCCAACCTCCTGCATTCTCAATGTCTCAAATTCCTTGCTCAAGTTGAGAACCTGTATGTTTCTTGTAGTATCACTTCCCATGAACTCCTCCCTTAACTTGTCCCAAGATTCTTTTGTTGTTTTGCGTGCCATGATCCTTGTAAAAACAAGGTCTGTGATAGTTGAGTGAATATGGGACAAGGCTTTTGGAGCCTTTGAAACTTCTTCTTTATGCAGCCGGATTTGGTTGAGTGTGGGATTTGGTCCCAACTGAGGGAGTTGTTTCTCTTCTTCTACATACTGCCAGAGTCCTTGACCCCTCATGTATGCTTTCATTTTGACAGCCCATTTATGGTAGTGTTCACCATTAAATACAGGAGATAAAAGGGAAGCTGTCTGAGTGTCCATTGATTCAAGAAAAACAGGTCTGATGCAGGGTTGTTTTTCGGAGAGACAGATGAGGTGATCAAGAGAAGGAAGAAATGTTTAGTTTTTTCAGCTTAAGTAACCGAGCTCTGATACCATTTCGTTGTTGCTTTCACCGGAGAAGGCAAAGAAAAGAAAAAGAGCAACTTGTAAAAATGAAGCGTGTTATCTTACTGCATTACCAACTGAGATTACAACATAACTAATAAAGCAGAAATTTACTGTTGACACCAACTTTGCAGACATATTTTATCCTACATTAATCTAAAGCTATACATTAATACCAACTAACAACAACCATTACAAACACATCCCATATAACCTGGTAGTACAAATCTAAGCATTACAAAATGAATTAAACTAGGCTGCCTCACAAAATGACAGACGACATATTGCATTTCTATTTGGTGCCAGAACATGTTCAAAACCAAGCTGACAAACTGCTACATTTCTAGCCAATTATCAGAATTTAACAAAACTAAATCATTCGTCACATGTGAGGAAAATTATGTGCAACATGATCAATTTGGTGGAATCTTAGCAAGTAAAGATCTAAAAAAAAGACAAAACTATTCCATAGTTTTATTCAAGTACTTTGGTTTGAAAGAGGAAGCAGCCGATTACCGAATCATGTTAATTTATTTGCCTTTTGTTGGTTTCTATGTTTCTGTTATTTTCATTATCTAAATCATATATTCTAACATGGATAATTACAATAGCCTTGCATTGATAGTCACAGCACAAGGAAGTACATGGGTTTGTGCCCTGCAATTTCTGCTCTAAAAAATTGGTAGATTCTTCTAGTCTTGCTTGTTTGCACAATTATGCAAGATTCTTCTTATTCCTGATCTTCATCAAGAATTACTATCTGTTTGATAATATATAATATAATTCTTTAGGAAGAAGTCATCACACAGGTGCTGTTAAGTAAATTTTCTATGAATTTATTGAGCTTCGTCGAAACTAGTTCCACTTCTTTTGAGTTTCTTCCTAGTTTATGTCACCTCTTTTGGTTCTTATAGAGAATCTATAACCAACTTACTTGTCATGTACTCTCTTTTGGCCCAAAGTAAGTTCCTTGATAAATAACAGAATTCACTATGAAAATACATCGAACATTAAGAAAAGACAAGTAAAATCCTTAGGAAAAATATTCCAAGAAATGGGGCCTTGCAAAACGATCTCATTTGTTCCATATGAGGAACATTACGTGCAACATAATCAGTTTGATGGATTCTTGGCAAGTGAAGATCTAAAATACACAAAATTATTTCCATAATTTATTTCAGGCAGTTTGGTTTGAAAAAGGATGCGGCCAATTTGCAAATCATGTTAATTTGTTTGCCTTTTGTTGCTTTCTATGTCTCCTTTGTGTTCAGTATCTGAAATCATATAATTCAACGTGGAAAATTACAATAGCTTTGCATTGATAGTCACAGCCCAAGGATAGCACATGGGCTTGTGCCTTGCAATTCCTGACCTAAAAGGTTGGCAGATTCTTCAAACCTTGTAGGTTAACATAAGCATGGAAGATTTGTTCTACAACCTTATCTAGTCGTTAGTTTTTATATAAAATTTAGAGAACATGGTGTGGATAACCATATGATTTTGTTCTATTTCTATTCTTTTAGGAAATTAATTGCTTAACCTAAGTGGCCCTAAGGATTTTAATGCATCCCTCTTTGCAGAAGAAAACAAATGCATAACAACCAAGTGATAGTGGTCTACCTGCAGAGTTGATGGTTAACAACAATCAAAATCTATAACCAATATCACCACCACCTATTCATTTTTTGATCACATGGCCTTACTTCCAATCAACACAACATAAAGAAGACAACAATAAGTGATTCTGTCTATAGTTGTGAATATTTATATATCCCAGCTAGCCACTGACTTCTGCTCACCACAACACATAGTCCTGCTTAAGGGAAAAAAGCTATATAACTCAGAGTTCTAGCTTGTTCAAAGTTTCATTCTGATTTTTTATCATGATCAACACAAAAAAACTTCACAAACTGGCAAGGAAGTGGCAGAGAACGGCTTCTGCAAAGTGCAGGAGAATCTCGTATCCAAAAAGTGGTGCAAATCTGGATCCATTAGTTGCTGATAAAGGCCATTTTGTTGTGTATACAACTGACGAGAAAAGGTTCATGGTTCTCTTGGAATATCTCAGCCAAAATGTCTTCATAGAGCTCTGGAGAATGTCTGAAGAAGAGTTTGGTCTTCCAACTCATAGAGCTATCACATTGCCTTGTGATAGTAGCCTCTTGGAGTATGTCATTTCATTGGTCCAAGGACGCATGCCTGCAGATTAGAAAAGGCTTTACTCACTTCCATAGCAGCATGTCACCACTTGGCACCATCTTCTCTTGCTCAAGGACAAAGCCACCAACAAATACTTATGTTTGGCTATTCAATGTTTTTTTGACAGCAATGACTAGTAGACTTACTGACTGTATACAGATATACATTTTTATAAACTTTTGATTTGATGTAACTTCATAAGTAAAATTTTTCTTTTATAAATTGACTGTGAATGAGATTTTTAATTTTTATTTTCTGGTAATTATAGTAACTTGCTACCAATTCTGATAGATGCAAATTTCATTTTAGCAAATTCATTTTAATAATTCAAGTTTCCTGAGATCTGTTTAATCAGTTCAATTAAATTAAACTCATAATACTGAGAAGGCAGAGCTGCATACAATCAGTTACCTAATTATATGTAGTTATGTTAGTTTTGTTTCTCCCATAGATATTCTTTTTCTTATTTCACTCTTTGCAAAAAGATTATTCCTCCTGGTGATCTTCATCTACATTTAGTATCTGGTGATGTAATCTTATTCAGGAAGAAATCACCACAGTTCCTTCTAAGTCATTTTTCAATTAAATTCTTAACCTTTGTTGAAGGTAGTTCCACTTCTTGTGAGTTTCCTCCTAGTTTATATCAACTCTTGTGCATGGGTCATAGAGAGTATCTATAACCATCACCCTAACTGATAGGGGCCGCTTTGTTCTTTACCATAAGACAGAAGAGATGTGCTCTTCTAAGAAATGTTAATTTTCCAGGCGTCTGCTAACAGCCCACAGGTCTATTCCCGTATAACTAACTAGATTCTTTTGCATCGAAAAATTCACAACGGAAGGAACCTGCATGGCTAAAAGTGTTGTCTTTGTTTCTCAATCATTTGCCTATATAAGTAACATACTTTATGCTTCTAAACAGAAAACTAGTACCATTTGAGGTTTAACAAATCCAAAAATCTTTTTCTCTTCCTGATAAAAGTTATAGACGCCTAATATACTGACTGAGGCAGCATGATCAGCCCCAAGAAATCCACCTACTTAAAGAAGCTGAAGAAGATGGGCAAGGGGGAAAAAAGAATGTATTTACTAAGAACCAACGAAGAACTGGATGTGCATAGTGCTAACAAACCCTCAGTAGCTGGAAAAGGCCATTTTGTTGTCTACACCACAGATCAAAAGCGTTTTGAAATTCCCTTGTTGTATCTCAACAACAACATCTTCCTTGAGCTCTTAAAGGTGTCTGAAGAGGAGTTTGGAATATCAAGTGACGGGCCAATAACATTGGCATGTGATGCAGTTTCCATGGATTACACAGTCTCTCTAATAAAACATGGTGCAGATAAAGGCTCCGAAAAAGCTTTTATCGATTATATAACTGCAAGTCACTGCACATCTTCTTCTGCCACATTTCTTCAAGAATTTACAGGAAACCAGTCACTTGTTTGCGGCTGCTGATAACATCGGTGTTGCATTTTGTAAATGTTCAAAACTTCTGTACCATAATATGAGTCCATCATTCGACGGTGCATACTTATATTATGGACTCATATTATAATACCATAATATGACTGCAATTCGACGATATTATGGTAAATGTTCAAAACTTCTGGATGAATTTGGATTAGAGTTTGACTTAATGGGAGTTGATAGTTTATGCAAATCTTGGTTGAATGAAAGACTGCAGTAGTCATTCACTGTAATAGTTCATGAGCATCTCCTTAAGCATATGTAAAAGGGCTGCGATTCCGATTTGACCGCACTGCTCCTTCATCTGCAACTTTTCATGTACAATCTTGTTTGTAAGATTTTTGTGAAATCTGTTTTGGAAGACTTCTTTAAATTTTGTTGCGTGATTAAGTTTAACTTTTTTATTAATTGAAGTTGTTTTAATAATGGTGGATTTATGGATTAATTTAAAACTAATGACGAATATTGAAGCTTATTTTTTGGTTGGACATAAAATTACTATATTATCTTTCTTTAAATGGAATTTACTGACAGATTTGGATGAAAAGTGGATAATTACCATTTTCAAACTTTTTGGATACCAAACTGTCTTTACAGCAAACTATGGGTAGATGCATATCGTTTAGCCTACTTATTTTCATTGTAAACTAGTGAATATATTTAGAATGAAATAAGTTGCATAGCTAAACCGAATGCATTTCGCCTTAGCAACTTTCTAATTAAGTCTTTGTACAGTACAGCCACAGGCTACCGAGGTTGAAATATCAGATACACATGATTTCACAAAATTCAGTCTATAATTATCATCATAATTGGTCTCATATTTTCGCACAACCATCACAGGTATGCCATGATGTTAAGGCTAGTTGCAATATAGAGACTGGACAGTACTCAGAGTACTTGAATATCTAAACAAAGTTTATTCAAACATAAACGGGTCCATTGGTCAAAGTTAAATGATTATATATTTTCAGTTTAAACTAAGATGCGCTGAAGGAAGAAGTTGAACCTACTTTAACAACTCCATTTTCCCGTATCCAAATACTCCCATTTGAGCTTCTGAGGAACACTTTGTATGACATGTCTAACTCTGTCAACGATAGAACAACTCAAAAGTCTAAACTAAGGACAATTGTTAGCATAATGTGGTTAAAGGAGTTTGCTCTGGCTGAAGAACATAGTTATTTATGTACTACCATGCAAACTTTGTTTTGTTCTTGTTGTTTTTTACTCTCTTTTATACAGTATAAAATACATAATAACTGTAAATAACAGAATAAGTTCCTAGCATTGATATCCTAGAGACCTACCATTTTATTTTCCAAATTTTTGTATGGTATTGGTAATGCTTTTATTACTACGTTTACTTTTCATTTAGTTTTATCCGAAGGCTTTAATCTTGTCGCATAACATAGTTTGACCTGAACGAAATAGAGACAGCAGCGAGAACAAAATAACAATAAAGTAAATCACAGATAATAACTACAGAGAAAATAACACGCGCGATTTATCCTGATTCACCCAATACGGGCTACGTCCAGTCGAGTCAATATTATTGCAATATTTTCTCACCCCTCTCTCGTTTACAATGAATGAATGAATGAATGAATGAATGAATTGCCTTATGATTTGCTATCACACTCATAACAAGAGAAAAATATTTTTATATACTAGGTTTAAGTGACAAAACCTAGTTTACAAGGATTCTTATTCCTAAGCCCAACCCAATAAAGAATTAATAACTTAAAGAAATCCTACAGCGGTTATACATGGAAAAGACCCAAACCGCCTACGGGCCTGGGGGTGTTGCCCCCACAACCCCCCGCCTGCTCATTGGGGAGCGAGGCCCCTACCTGTTGACTGGGCAACGGGACCCCCGAATGCGTCTACGTAACTTAATAATACTGAAGTAGTCGACAACTCCAACATGACCAACCTTGAGAATAGTTTCTTGATTCTTATGTACTTGATATTTCACTCTTTCTTGATCTTTATGTTGTATCATTGTTAATATCAATGCTTTAGTGATTCCAAATACGCTGATGTTTTCCGTACAGGTGAAAATTTCAAGTAGCATAAGGTTATTTTAACAAGAAAACATGCATAAACATCCAAAATTTAGTTAAAGAATTCCAACATTGTGGTCTTAAGCTGTATCTTTAGAATATCATTTCTACCATAGAAAGCATCTACAAGCTGGGAGCTGCCAACCTCAAACCTTAATTAGTACTTTAGTTTTAGCTCCCAATCTAAGATGAGAGAATCTTTTTCTTATATTAATTAATTCTAGTTCTTCTAAACTTGTTCAAGGACATAGCCAAAATAAGTTCATTATTAAATTAAGAATCACCAAGAAGATGCATATAACAGGCGGTAGAGACAAGCAGAATCCTAAGGAGGAAGTAGAGGAAGTCAAAACATGGGGCTAGCAAAACTATCCCTTTTGTTCCACTTGAGTAATATTATATACAATCTAACCAACAAGACAGAAACTTAGAAATAAATGAAGAGCTAAAAACATAAATTAGTTATTTTCATAAGAAGGAACTATGTTAGACTTTTGGTCTCACAAAAGAATATTGCTCAATAATGAATAAACCCTATGATTTTGTTGGAATCATTTTTTTTTTTTTTAATGCCTAAAGAGATTTAATGCATAATTTAACTGGGTCCAGGAATTTTAATGCATTGCACTGGCAGAAGAAAACAAATGCGTAACAACCAAAGTGACAGTGGCCAACCACTCATTTTTCTAACCACCTATCTAGTTTGGTGTGCCTTTCTTGAAATCATCACAACATCAAGAAGACAACATCCATGGTTCTGTCTTTCTTTTATATATATATATATATATATCACAAGTTGTGATTAGGGATGAGAAACGAGCCGAGTAGTTCGCGAGCTACTCGAGCTTAACTCGTGAAAGGCTCGAGCTTGACTCGATTGACTTCGAGTCGAGCTCAAGCTCAAGTGGCTCGTTTAAGGGATCGAGCCGAGTTCGATCAAGGTGAAGCTTGGCTCGATAGGCTCGCGAGCCTCATTGTGCTCGAAGGGCCAAATTGTAAGTTTTGTAACTTTTTTTTTATTTTCAAGATTTTAAAATGACAAACAGCCCCCTTCTCACAATAAACTCGAAGCTCGAGCTCGATTACTCAAGCTCGAGCACAAGCTCGAGTATCTACCCATACTCGCGAGCTCGAGCTCGAGCCTAAGTATTCAAGCTCGAATGAGCTCGGCTCGAACTCGAGCTCGACGCTGTTCATCACGAACTGAGCTCGAGTGTCTAGATACTTAGCTCGGCTTGGCTTAGCTCAGCTCGTATACACCCATAGTTGTGATTCACAACTGCCATTAGCTTCTGCAGCAAAATCCTACTTAAAACATAGGCCCTGCAACTCAAGAGTTCTAGTTTTTTCAAAGTCTCATTCTAATCTTCAACCATGATCAATGCAAAAAGGCTCATTGAATTGGCAAGGAAATGGCAGAAAATGTGAGACATCCCACATTGCTTGGGAAGGAGGGGCCTGAGCTAGTTAAATACCAGGGGAACCCCCCAATAGTTAAGATGCTTTTTGGGCTTGAGCAAGGGTTCTTGGGCCTGAAAACAAAATCGTGAAGGACTGGGCTTCAGAGTCGGACCACCTAGGTTGCCAAAGCGGACAATATCTTGACTGTGTTGGGTTGGCAGTGGGCTAGGGTGTTACAATTGATATCAAAGCCAATCCCAACCGCAAGTGTGTGGATAGTCAAGAGATCTCGCCTAGCCCAAGAGGGATCGCGATGAGGACACTAGATCCTGAGAGGGGAAGATTGAGACATCCCACATTGCTTGGGAAGGAGGGGCCTAAGATAGTTAAATACCAGGGGAACCTCCTAATAGTTAAGACACGTTCTAGGCTTGAGCAATGGTTTTTGGGCCTAAAAACCAAACTGTGAGGGGCTGGGCTTTGGAGTCGGACCACTTATGTAAAACCCCATTCTAATAATATATATATTCCCTTTGGTTTTGTTTATAAGGAGGGACTTTTCTGTCAAATTTTAAAGTTTGGTTAGTGGTGAAAATTAAGAAATGGAAACTGTTGGGTTTGCATGTAGCAAGGGCACAAAATCTGGATGTTTTTGTAAGGAAAAGATGATGTGGCAGGGTTAAATTAGAATTAAGAGAATTTGGGGGCTATTGTAAGAAAAAAAAAATTGTTTTATATAAATTTGGGTCGCTCACCCAAATGAAGAAGAAGAAAGTGGGGAGAAGAAAACCGAGAAAAAGAAAAGAAAGAGAGAAAGGAAGAGAGAGAAGGGAGAAAAGAAGAGAGAAAAGAAGGAAGAAGGAAGAGAGGACGTCGGCCGAAGGAGGAAGGGAAAGAAAAAGATAAATGAGGGAAAGAAAGTGAGGTGAAGAGAAGGATGGTGCTTGGGGCAACTGGGTATTTCGGGTTGAGCTGAATTTTTTTTAGTGTGAGTGGATCAATAAGTTTCTCAAAAAATTCAGATTTATTTTGCATGTTAAATAAGTTGGCCATTTTTGCTTTTTGATGAGTTTTGGCTGAATTTAAGCTTGCCGAACTTGCTTTCCTTTCCATGCTTTTGGATAAATGTTTGGTTGGTTAATTTGGTGCTTAAAATGGAGTGTATTTTGCTTGCATGTGTTCGGCTGAACATAGAAAAGTGATACTGCATCAATCTGGTCTTGTGTTGCATGTCATTAATCTTTCTTAAAAGCTTAGACTTATGTCTGCATGTTAATGTTTTGATGAGTTTTTGGATTTATGTGAATTTTGTGTGAGTTGCTTGTTCTCCCATGCTTCGGCTGGATTTGGGATTATTTTATTGTAGAAGAATTGCTTTAAATTGTCTCTTAATGTGTGTATTAGGTTGGGCAGTGTGTTGGTAGTGGCTGGGATTTTGTTAAATAAGATATAAATGTTTGAACATTACGTTTGCATGCTATTTGTTGTAATGAGAAATAGTTTATAGAAGTCTGAAATAGT